GAATAATCGTCTACGAAAAGAACAAAATATTTATACCTGTCAACAGACGGTGTCGGGGAAGGACCCCAAATGTCTGTAAAAATTAAGTCCAACACAAACTGACTAGTATTAGGACTATATTACTTGAGTTAGAGTAGAACTCTATTTCGTATCTTTATATTTGTATCTTCAGACTTTAGTATTGAATACAATTCACAGTTCATATCCTCATCAGGTATCATAGTTTCCAGGTTTTTCTCTCAAGGCAGCCATCGGTGTTAATGATGACGACTCTGTTCGTGATCCTTCCGAACGGATTGTTACCGAGGCTTCTTTAGTTCCCACCGGAAATAGCCTTTCATCAACTCATCATTTTGTCCCCCTAAAATTGACCACCCGTAATTTTTTGGAGAATGCAGATGCTCCCGTTCTTCGAAGGCCAAGGTCTTCTCGGCTATGTCGATGGCACTCTTCAGTTTCTGACCCCCTCACCGGCGGCTGCTTCGACCGCGAACATTGGTGCTATGGCGGCTACGGATCTTTCGTCGCAGTAACTGTCTTGGCGGCGTCAGGACAAGGCCATCTTGTCACTGCTGATTTCGTCATTTTCGGAAGAGACCAAGCACCTTGCTGTTGGTCAAACATCTTCGCGATAACTTTGGCTTGCCATTGAGCAGGCTCTCGGCTCCTCGACATGGCCTCGAGCCTTGCGGTTTCTTGGTGAGTTACAAGTCTTGCGTCAGGGTGACTCGTCGATATCGGACTACCTCGGCCATGCGCAGATGTTAGTGGAGGATTTAGCGCTTGCCGGACGATAAGCCACGTTGGACGATCAAAATTTGTACGTTTTTCGTGGCTTGCGGTCTGAGTTCCGTCCACTGTAGCGTTCTTGACGCGGGGTGCTGTTGTTCCGCTGACTGAGGTAGCGGATTTCTTGGTGTCCCAGGAATGGATCTGTGTCGGCTGCCTTGATCGCGAGCCGTGGTGGTCGCGGGGAAAGTTCGCAGCAGCGGGGTGGCGGTGGTCGCGGTAGAGGTAATAAAGGGTGTGGCCATGGGCACTCTAATTCCAGGTCGCGGTGTTAAATTTGTAATAAACAGGGTCACACGGCACTTTCGTGTTACCACCATTTTTCTGCCTCCCCAGCTCCTCAGGCAAATGTGGCTTTCTCTTGTGATGGTGTCAATTCGGGTGGTCCTCATCAGTGGTTTCCTGACACTGGTGCTACGAATTATGCTACACCTGATTCGTCTCAGATGACTTCTGCGACAAGTTATGATGGCTCGGAGACTTTACGAGTCGGCAGTGGTACAAGTTTGCCTATTGTTAATGTTGGTTTCACTTCAATAGCTACTGATTCTAGGTCTTTTAGAATGTGTGATGTCTTGCACGTTCCTGGTCTTTCTTCTTCGTTATTGTCTGTTCAACATTTTGCTAAATATAATAATGTTTTCTTTGAATTTCATCCTTCGTGTTTCAATGTGAAAGACATTATGACCAGGAATATTCTTTTAAGGGGCATGTGTCTGGGCTCTTTATGTCTGGCCTACTTTGCGTCCAGCTCTTGCTGTGTTTGTTGCTGCACGTTCGTCTTTTGTTTGGCATATGCGGCTTAGTCATCCTCATTCGAGAGTCTTACATAAGATTTTAGAGTCTTTTTCTATTAGTAAATTTAATTCTAGTGATCTTCCCAATATTTGTTCATCTTGTCAATTGGGAAAGTCGTCTTGTTTTTCCTTATCTCGTGTTGAAACTACTAGTACGCAACCTTTGGAATTAATTCATTCTGATATTTGGGGCCCTGCGTCGTTGCTTTCTGCGAATGGCTTTAAATATTTCATCTTGTTTGTGGATGATTATACGCATTATATGTGGTATTATCCTATGCGTGCTAAGTCTGAATTGTATGTCATTTTTGATAGGTTTCGGTCACTTGTTGAACGTTCATTTTCTCGCAAGATTCTTTCTTTTCAATCTGATTTAAAGGGGAGAGTATAAAAAGGTTGGTTCTACACTGGCCTCTCTAGGTATTCGTCACAGGAAGTCTTGTGTGTATACTCACGAGCAGGGCCAGGTAGAACGCAGGCATCGCCACGTTGTTGAGACGAGTCTGGCATTAATGGCTCAGGTGTCTGTTCCATCTCGTTTTTGGGACTACGCGTTTGAGACCGTTGTGTACTTAATTAACAAAATTGCCTACTCGTGTTTTGTCTAATGAGTCTCCCCATTCCCGTTTGAATTGTTCACCTCCATCTTATTCCTACTTGCGAGTGTTTGGGTGCTTATGTTTTCCAATGTTAGGTCCCTATAATCGTAACAAACTATAGTTTCGTTCTTTTCCTTGTGTGTTTTTAGGGTATCCTCCGTCTTTTCGTGGCTATTGTTGTTTGGATACTAACACTAACAAGGTTTTTATCTGTCGCCACGTGCGATTCGATGAGACTGTTTTTCCCTTTGTTTCTCCTGTTGCATCGTAGGTTGTCCCACCACGGTTGGACCCGTGGGCTGTTGCACCGGTGTCGGTTGCTTGAGATGTGCCGTCTCCGGATGATGGCGCTGCTGGGCAACGTGATGAGGCTGATCAGTCGACTGGCTGTGCGGCAGAGGCTGTAACACCCCACTTTTCTTAAACATTATTAACAAGACTTAACTTAAAAAGGAGAAACTAAACAAGTAAATAGCATTAAAAGCTTAATAGTCAAACTTCAAGAGGTGTCACAGCCACAATCACCATACACGGTGATTGCACAGGCAAGGAAAGGATCTAAACAAAGTCAAGCTTACTAACTTTAAACAAACTTGGGGAATAACCCCAGTGTCCAACACCATCAAAAGCAACTAAATAGGTCTACAACCAAGTCTCAAAAATAAACATAACTGATAAGAGTTTAGACTACAACTAGCACTCTAAGCTAAGCTAGTGTAACTCGATCGCTCTCAAGAACTAGGCCCACCTGAAAGGGGTTAACAAACAAACAAGTAGAAAGCAACTCGTTAGCACGAAGCTAAGTATAACGCCACTCAACCCTGTAAAGTACTATAGAATATAATTTTGGAAAACATTTGTTTCACACACTTAGATCATGTATTCTCAATCACTTTAATCAACATTCAAACATACTCAACAGTATTTCTATATGCTTGCAACCTAATTATCAAATAGGCATACTTTCTCAATCAATTATGTAACACCCCACTTTTCTAAATCTTAATTATAATTATAAACCACAATTAACATAAACTAAACAGCGGATAAACAACTAAATAAGATAACTAGTGGGAATGTCACCGCCACAACCACCACTCCGTGGTGATTGCACAAGCTAAGGGTAGAACTAGAAACAAATATTAAATAACTAACATCCATAAAACTAACTGAAAGTCATAAGGGGAAAAAGACACCCTGAATTCTACATCATCAAACTTCATCCACAACATAAGTCTAAATTCCGATAAATAACATCATGGTCAAAACATTAAGAGTTTTGACTTCTATAACTACTAGACTAGTCTAACTCGCTCACTTCTCAATGCTGGGCCCATCTGAAAGGGATTTTACAAACAACACGTAGACAAATAGAAAAACACCCGTTAGCATGAAGCTAAGTATAACCACACTCAACCCTGTAAAGTACTATAGAATATACTTTGGAAAAACATTTGTTCACATACCAAGTTAAACAATCTCATTACATAGACAACTGTAGATACATACTTTCTATATGCTTGCAACCTATAGTATCAACAGGCATGCTTCAAAACAAAAGACTTAACAATATAGATATTTCCACATGTGAACATCACAACAAACTTATCAAAGCAACTCATGCTTACAATTAATTTCATACTAATAAACCAATAGAAAGTTATCTTCATGCTCTCAAGTTCTCATCATGTAAACTGGATATACAAGAATTCGAAAAGTAACAAAACAATCATGCTCGAAATACAATCTTGAGTCATCATTCTCATTATGCAATCTCATGCAATACTCTACTCAAATGCAATCTCGTGCAATACTATACTCATATACAATCTCGTGCAATACAATAAATATACTCATATGCAATCTCGTGCAATACTCACTAGTACAGAAACAGTCATTCGCGTCCAAAGTTAAGGCTAATTCGCGTCCAAAGTAGCTGGGACGCAGTTGTCGGGGACGCTGATTGTATAAACAATCAGCGTCCAAAGCTACTTTGGACGCGCAAAATTATTATTCGCGTCCAAAGTTGAAGAACTTTGGACGCGAAAAATGATAATTCGCGTCCAAAGTTCGTGAACTTTGGACGCGTATAGTGTTTATTCATTTTTTAAAAAAATACTATACGCGTCCAAAGTTTCTGAACTTTGGACGCGTATAGTAAAAAAATTAAAAAAACATTTTTTTTTTATAAAACTACCAATATTTTCCTGTACATCCCATCATAACTACCAAAATATATTTCAATATTAATCAATTTAAGATGTATACTACACACCAATTCTATCAACTAAAACACACCAATCTAAAATTTCAATTCTAATAACATTTTACTACAAATAAACTACAAATTCTAAATGTTAACAATTAAAATAAATTACTTAAGATGTAATATTGTGATAACCTTTATCAGCCACATAAAATATCCTCATGCTCGAAGCAAGAAAAATGTCCTGGGAATCCAAACAATCACAGAAGTTCAATACCCAAAATCAATGTAAAACTAAGGCCTAAAAGCTGAAATTCACACAAACAACAAGAAAACAAACACTTGGGACTACTTTACCTCTTGCAAGACCAAGAGTACATTGAAGCCTGCATTTTACATCTTCAGAGAAAAAACAAACTTAACCTGCATTATCACACAAAAAAGATGAGAGGGTAGTGTTGTTGTAGTTACAACAGTACACCTATATATATAATATATTGTATATTGATGTGAAAAGGACACCCAAAAATCCATTGAAAATTTGACAGTATAGTGCTTACCAGCTCCAGAAAAAGAAAGCAACTTGAAATGCAGTGCAGATCAGATCAGATTAGAATGGGTGGCTTTCGCTTGGACCCCTCCCCTATCACTGTGTAAGCACACTCCCTGGCTACCACTTTCTCTCCTCTCTTCGAACTAACATTGAAATTTCTATGCTCAGGTTGATAACTGGAGCTTGGTAAGAGTATCTGAATATGGATATGCAAGACTGCAAGCGACAAAGAAAGAATTGAAAGTTGAGGTCAGCGGTTTACCTGATGATAGAATCACATCAGCATATTATGCATCTGAATAACATGTCATTGATATTTTTAACTCTTTCCCCCTTGAATTTTGCAGTACATGAATGCAAACTCAGGAAATGTAAGAGACAGCTTCCAGATAACCAAGGCCACAAGAAAGTAGACTTAGATAGGATATCTCAGCTGAATATACTGTAACAATATGAAAAAGAGTAGAAACATTCATACAAAAAATGTATACTCCCAAAAGAAAATAGTGCTTCTAAATTCTAATGAGCTAAATGTGCTTTCATACAAAGAAGCTAACCAGATAAAACCTATCACATATTTACACCATGTGTTGCCGGGATTGGAAATACAAATCCTCCCTTAACACATTCCTACCATCAACTCTGAGCAGTGACCAAAAGACAATGCTTGCAGTGATTAACTCCCCCAAATCAGTTGGAAAATATTTTTGCTAACGGTGGCACTGATTAAGTTATTGCTCTGCTTCTTAAGCAATTCCTCATGTGCACGTACATCACCATCCTTCACATCTTTCAGCATGAAATGTATTTTGAAGTGATATTTAAGCAACAGTATTCAAATTTTGTGACATAAGAATTCTCAATTCACCATTTTTCTTGAAGGTGCAACTTTAGTAGTTGCCTCCTTCTAATTTTTCCTTAAATCAATTATCCACAAAAATGCAATTGCATAAGCTGCTACTTTTGAAAACTACAATTTACCTTATAGTTAATCATGACTTATAAGAATATATTAATAAGCCTCCTCAAAGATGATATGTTCAATAATATTTGTAAATTTCATTCTGTATATTAGCCAAATGGGATAACTAAAACATGGTACAATAAACTGGTTAGACACATAAAAAGGAACAAGGTACATAAAGAACACCACAAATAGAGATTAGAGAGCTGACCAGAAGAGAGTATGCCCGTGCGAGAGAAAACAAAGTTGGATGCATATCCAAAACAGTCCAAGCAACCTCTTTTGTTACCTGTGCAACCTGCACAAACTAATCAGTTAAAAAGGCAAACCACACAATTTCAACCAAAAAGAGAAAAGCTTGTACTCCATATACATCACAATAGAGCAATACAAAGCATCTCAACGTGGATAAAAAGATAGGGGAGGGTGTAATATCAATATATCATACTCAAGATTTTATAGAAAAACAACTCATGCAGATCAGTTACAGGCCACCTTAAACATTACAAGTCCCTTATATGTGCACTAAAAATTGTATATTGATTGCTTCATGAGTTCAAATAATTAGAAATCTGTATCAAATAGCAAACAAGCTTCCCACAGAAAGCCATGGCAATGTTTGAAAATGGTGGCATCACTTGTTCCTGTTTACTGCTTTAAAGAATCTAATATGGAGTATATTTTATGAATTTATATGAACAATTAAAATTGGGGATAGGGTAATGCCTTGTTAATCTGGCTAGAAACCACCCTTGCAAAAGTCGAAATCCCAAAAAGGATCAATAATAGTTACAGAAGTATACTTACTGCAGCAGAGGCGTCTCGACCTAGCTGAGCAAGCTGTATGCCAAGGCCTTGATGATTAGAGTGAAAACGTTCACCAGGATTCCTGTTGGCTGGAATCGCATTCCATCTTAACGTGGACTTCCAAAGACTTTGTTTCGTTAATTTGAATCCCTATCAAAAAAAAGAACCATACAAGTTAGATGTCATCTGCTCAGTGCCAAACTAGATGATAGCCTAAATTCCAGAAAAATTAACATGCTCAATCGTTCTTGTAATTTTTTTTTAAAAAAAAAGGCATATACAGCGATAACGGTAAAAGCAAACCTTATTTGCCAGAGGAGATGCCGGAACTTCCACATTCATTAAGCAACATTTAGGGAAAGCACCCTTCTCTATATCTCTAATGGCTGCAGTAATTAAAGGTAAACAAACACTTGCAGCATCCTTGAAATCACTTTCCTGGCTTTCATCTTTCTTCCTAAAATTATAAAACCAAAGACTACTTGATAATCGATTGTTAACAAATTACACGAGGGTAACACAGAGGAAAAGATCTCAAGAGCATACCAGTTAAGAGATATTTATATAGACGGGATGCCACAGAGCAATGCCTCCCTGGCACCTGCTACAACACCAGAGTAGAACCTGGAGAAAAGAAAAAGTAATACATAGAATGTAGAGAAACAAATGACCATTTAAGAATACAAAAGATCTGGAATGCAAAAAAGAAAAAAAAAAAAGTCAATTCATGACTTAAATAGAAGCAGAAACTTAGAAAAATAATTGTCAATTGAGTTTCAGTTCATCAACAGTTAGTATAACAGCAGATGAGCAAGATTCTCTACATAATCTAACTAGCAAGTTCCTAGAATCTTTAATTCCCCCCACAGAGCAAGTATCTAGGATCCCATTGGTATCTTTGTTGATTGCATTAGCTGCAAAAAATGACTACCGAGTTCTCTAGGTTGGTACAATTTTGAAGTGAAATAGTGAGAGTATGGGGTCAAGGTTGGTACATAATGTTACATGCAAACAAAGACAGACAGAAAACCCCATATGTCATGATTTACACTAAAATGAATGAGACAGAGGTTTACCTTTTGAACATCTTTCTTTTGCCTTTTAGCTCTTGTCCCTGCCACAATTATTTAGTACCACCTTATACATCATATTGAATAAGAATCCCAACACATGAAGTTGATAATAATTAAAAAGGATCTCCCCCAGATTGATAGATGAAAAATAGAACCAGAACAACTAAAGCCTTCTACAAAATAATTAGTAATTGTAATCAAATCAAGCACATATTAGAGTTTTAAAATGAATCCTACACCAAATCAAAGAAGGAAAAATAGAAATTGTCAATGAAAATAAATTAACAAGTTCAGTTTCTTTTCAAGTTAGCAAGTCAAATTTTCAATATGCAGAAATTTGATTTTCTAAGACTACATTTCATATAGAAGCATCACCTCAGAATCTGTAGGAAGTGATGTCATTAGGAGGGAGCATATCTGGTGATGGAGAACCTGTAAATTTTTAAGGCCATTGTTTAGGCAATGAAAATAGTGATGATGTAATACTGTCTTGAAACAATATTAGTCACAAATTTCAAAAGAATCAATCATGCAGCCAAGGTGAAAAAAAAAATCATGTCATTCATAGTTTTAAGTTTGTAACAAAAGAACTTGAGATACATGGTGTTGAACAAGCTCACAACCAAAAAAATAGCAGCAATGTTCATATTTTATCTAGGGTATAATGATGCAAAATAGCCACAGACTAAAGCTATACAAGGACACACTACACTTGCAAGGGAAGAGAACTAAATCCAGAAAAAAATTTAGGCCCTCAACAAACCTTCTCAAATATCGTTTTTATAGTTTAATCAACACATAGAATATGATGGAACCCATTGAATAGAAGAATCAAGCTTGATAAATTACTTTTGAAGACGGCGGAGACCTTTGAAGCAGAACAGCCGGTGGCGACCTTTGAAGCAGAACAGTCGGCGGCGATCTTTGAAGAAGAACGACGGCGACCTTTGAGGCAACGAATGGCGAGCGGCTGAGGCGGCGGCGACTTGCGAACGACGACCATCGGAGGGGGAAGACGATGGAGGGCGGCGGCAGGGACGGGAAGACGACGGTGTTTGTTGTTGGAGAAGGTAGTGATTGTGGGGGGAAGACGAGGGCTGGGTGATTGTATTCGTAAAAACCCTAAAAATATGCTTTGAGGTCTGCGTCCAAAGTGATATAACTTTGGACGCAGATTCGTTTTCTAAAAATGACGCGCATCAATTCGCGTCCAAAGTGATATAACTTTGGACGCCCTTTATTTTATTTTTATTTTTTTTACAAAAAATTAATTATATAATGATATTTTATTTACAAAAATGCCACCGCCTCCCACATTATGCGTCCAAAGTTCCAACTTTGGACGTGAATTATTCGATTTTATTGATGTTTTTTGTACTAGTGACTATAAACAAACTCATATGCAATCTCGTGCAATACTATAAATATACTCATATACAATGTCGTGCAATACAATAAATATACTCATATGCAATCTCGTGCAATACTATACTCATGTGCAATCTCGTGCAATACTATAAATATACTCAATACACTCGTTGTAAAATAGAATACTTTCTGTGGAGGTCTCTTTGATTCATAAATGACTTGCTTTCTTTCTCTTGAGTCTCTTGACTCGATATCTTTCCTGCTCAAACTTTCTCATACTTCTCATTTCTCTTCTTGTGCGAGGCAGGTACTCCGCCGCAGCGAAGCCCTAGCGTACGATGCAATCTCGTGCATCCGCCACTTCCTTAACTACGGAACCTCTTACTCGTGGGGAGGTAGGTCTGCACGAATCGTGAATGGACCTAACCGGCTCGGCAATCTAGCCGGCCACATACTCAACTCGCCCACAGAACCACTCTCTTGGTTCTATCTTTCTTTCTTGCTTTCTCTGTGGAATCAAGTATCGAACTTTTAGTGTGCACACCCCCTGACCAGGATTCCAAACCCGGCGGGAAGTCTCCAACCTCGTAACGTGGGAATACGCTGCGTTACATATACTGGAACTGCAATGTCCATAATAATCATCCGAGAGGACATAGTCCAAACGGAGTCCTCCAAAACCTCACCGATATAAATAGTATATAAATATATCTCTCATGCATCAATCTCATGCAAACAACTTCTCAATGCATCAAATAATGATATACCACATGCTTATGGATTTTGAAAGTAACCACGTTGGCCACTTATGCACTTTTGAAATATGATATACTTGAAGATGCAACAATACTCTACAACATGCTCCAAAACCATATATAAAGATCCTAAAGTTCATAAGAATACAATATCATACTCGGTTTGCAACATAGCAAATTCTATATATTTCTATCAACAAAAATATGCTTCAAATCTCATTGATCAAACAACACCTTCTAGTCATGCTTTCATAACAAATCATATTTTCAAAGTGATCATGCTTCTCTACTCAATACAAAAATAACATCAGACACAAAGCAAAACATTTTTCATACACAGTGAACTTCATAATATATACTGTGAAGCAACTTCTTCAATAAGTCCATCATAACAAGCTCATTTCTAATCCAAATTCAACGAAATCAAAGCCAAAACGTGCATCGAGACGGCCTCGAGTACCGAGCCACAAGGACCCGTGACACCTGGCCCGAAACGATACGTAGCTGAGCCACAAGGGCCTGACCACTGCACAGACAACACTCAGGGACCAGGGGCGGGGCTCTGCATAGCCCGCCCCTCTCAGGCCGTTACATCGCCGGGCCTAGGCAATGGTCCCCTCCTAGGGCCGTGCCCTAGGCCCGGCCGGCCACGGCTCTAGTCGGCGGCCCTCCTGATGGGTCGCGGCTAGGGCCGCTACTCTCACCATATAGATCTTTCATCTGCAAAAACACATTCCAAGCATGTCCAAAACATCCAAAATATTCTCAACACTTCAAAGACAAATACTAGATCACTTTCAAGCTCAAACACAACAAAATCCACCATTTATACTCATTTCTACTCAAAATAATAGGCTTCACAAAGCCAAAAAGAGATTGGGAATCCATGTGGTTATACCTTTGTAGACCTCTTCTTCTTGCTTGGATCTCTTCTTCCTCCCAACCTAGCTAGCACCTCCTTCACCACCTAAACTCCCCAAACAAACCATACAAAGCTTAGACTAGAACCTCAGGGAATGGATGAAAGCTAGAAGAGAAAAGGAAGGCTAAGATTGAATGAAGAAGGAGATGAAACTTACTGTTGTTCTTTCTTTTCTTGACAGACAGAATTTTGGGTGAGGCAAAGAAAGAGATAAGGGAACAACAATGGACTAGTGAGGCCTTTATAAGGTCCAAAACCCTAGGTAGATCATCAATGATTGGTGGAGGGCAAAGTGATAATTTGGTAGTTGTCTTAGAAATATCAGGCAAGAGGAGAAAAAGCTTTTGCTCCACCTTGCAACATGGACTATAGACTATAAAGGTGAATTTTAATTAGTTTGGGGTCAAAATGTATTTTTCCAAAAATGATTTCTAAACTAACACTTGGTTCAGATTTCTCCTGATCTCACTCAGATTGGTTTCTTAGTTTAAAACTTGGTACGCGAAGTACCCGAAAATTTAGGATCTTGGAATAAGTTTTGGTGTTGAATTAATTTAAAATGTAACTCAAAATAATTTATTCAAACACCAATTTATCGAAAAAATTTTAATGGAGTGAAAATGGCTATTTTGGAATTTCTTAAAATTAGATTTATAAAATAAAATTTTGGGTTGTTACAAATTAACTCATCGACAATCTCATGCTTTTACATATATATCTTATCATGGCGAAATACACTGATCATGCTCAAACTGATGGGTAATAATATACTTAAACTTTAACAAGCAATCTCATGTTGTCAAGATAATCAATTAATGACAATCATGGTTGCAGTAGGCGCTAGGCGCTAGTTGGGCGCCTAGGCAGCGCCTAGTGCCTAGGCGGAATCTAGGCAGGCACAAAAAAAATTTTAAAAAAATAGTGACAGACTTGTAGTTTGACAATTTTAATGAGACTGTTTTCAACATTCAATCAAATAATACATCCAAATAAATGAAATAACGATAATTTATATGTCATAAAATCATAATAATATTAAAATCAATAATTAATGAAAGAAAATATGGGACAAAATTAGTCAAAATTGGACAAAATCGGATGAAATCGATCGACTCGGCCGAGTTGGCCGATTTTGACCGACTCTGCCGAGTTGGCCGCCTAGGCGGCCAGCCGAGTAATGGCCGACTGTAATCAAAAGCGGCATGGCATGGCGCCGCCTAGCGCCGAGGAGGCCGAGTTTTACAATACTGATGACAATATAAAGTCATGCTTCTTATGATACTTTCACGCAACACGTGCAAATCATTTAATCATGCAATAAAATGAACATGATACTTTAGTATAAGTATAGATAGATATACATATACACACTTTCTTTAGTAACAAGGAACACTTGCTCGAAGGAGGTTCCTTAGAGTCACAATGACTCGCTTTTCTCTTCTTTCACTTGAGTCACACAGACTCGCTTTTCTCTTCTTTCTCAAGAGTCACAATGACTCGCTTTCTTTCTTTCTCTAGAGTCACAATGACT